CCCTAGGGAAAAGGCACCTGCCATTCCCCTTATCTATACCCAACGTGATTTTATAAACCTCTATAAGGTCATCCCTCAACCTCCTATGCTCTAGTGAAAAAAGTCCCAGCCTTTCCTTTTAACTCAAACCGTCCATTCCCGGCAACACCCTGGTAAATCTTCTCTGAACACTCTCCAGCTTAATATCCTTCCTATAACCAGAATGGGACACAGTACTCACCAACATCCTGTATGACGACAACATGACATCCCAGCGCCTATACTGAAAGGTCTGAGCAATGAAGGCAAGCATGGTAAATGCCTTCTTAACCACTGTGTCTACATGTGATGCAAACTTCAAAGAATCATTACCCACGGCCCTACTTTTAATTGTATAGGTGCTGCCCTTGTTTGTTTTACCAAAATACATTACCTCACATTTATCCAAATTAAAGTCCATCTGCTACTATTCAGCCCATTGACTCAATCAAGCTCCCTTTGTAATTTTAGATAACCTTCTTCACTGTTCAATATACCACCAATTAAGTTTCCCTAACTAGTCTCACTTGCCTGCATTTGGGTCATATTTCTCTAAACCTTTCCTATTCTTGTATCTGCCCAAATGTCTTTTAAATGTTGTATCTGTACCTACCACTTCCTCTGACAGTTCATTCCACATACGAACCACCCTCTGTATGCAAAAGTTGCCCCTCAGGTCCCTTTTAAATCTTTTTCCTCTCAACTTAAAATTATGCCTACTAGTTTTGAAATTCCCTACCCTGGGGAAAGACCTTTGTTATTCACCTTATCTCTGCCCCTCATGCTTTTATAAACATTTGTAAGGTCACTCCCCAATCTCTTACAGTCCAATGAAAAAGGCCCTAGTCTATCCAATCTCTCCTTGTAACTGAGACCCTCCAGTCCTGGCAACATCCTTGTAAATCTTCTCAGAATAAAAACAGCAAGCTCTGGAGGCAGGGTCATTGAACTCATCTTTCCTTGTCTAAACTTATTATCATAACTATTCTTATCTGTCATCCTTGTTTAGTTTTCACTTAAATGCATCCAAAGTATTAAACCATTCTCTGTGACAACAAATTCCACATTCGATTCTTTCATAACTTGACTTAAAAAATTGCAAAAGTTCACCAACTTTTGAGTTGAAAAATTTCTATGAGTGAAGATACTCATAAACTTCTACAACACAGAAGGAGGCCACTTGGCCCATTGTGTTCACGCTAGTCAACAAATCTGACTACACTGAACCCATTTTTCTGCTCCTGGCCTGTGGCCCTGATGGCTTAGGGAAAGCAACTGAATATCTCAATATTGGTTAAATGTTATGAGAGTTTCTGATTCAACCACTTCTTCAGACAGCAACAACACTCAAGATTCTCTCATCCTCAAACATTCTCTCCCTCCACCAGACTTTCAACAGTAGCAGTGTGTATCAATATTTCTTTATTCACTCATGACATGTGTGCGTCGCTGGCTGGGCCAGCATTTATTGCTCATCTCCGGTTGCCCTTGAGAAAGTGATGATGAGCTAACCTTCTTGCACCACTGCAGTCTATTTGGTGTAGATTCACCTACAATGCCTTTCGGAAAGGAGTTCCAAGATTTTGACTCAGCAACAAGATACTGCCCACCTGACCAATCCATTGATATCCTCTTGCAGTTATGACTATCCTCACTTTTTTACTAAGAGGGTAACTTTTTCAAAAAGAGGGTAGTGTGTGTGTGGAATGAGCTGCCAGAGGAAGTAGGGGAGGTGGCTACAATTATAACATTTAACAGGCATCTGGATGGGTATATGAATAGGAAGGGTTTAGAGGGATATGGGCCAAACGCTGGCAAATGTGACTAGATCAGTTTGGGGTCTGGTAGGTGCAGACAAGTTGGGCCAAAGAGTCTGTTTCTGTGTTATGTTACTCTATGACTCTATCTAGCCAACATTGTCAAAGAATAAGGGAACAATTGTTTTAAAACTGAGATGCAAGGGAATCTCTTCTCCCAGGGGCAGTGAATGTCTGGAATTCTCTATTCCAAGGAGTTGTGGAAGCTAGATCACTGATTACTTAGAGAAGGGGGAGACAGGTTTTTGAAATATCAGGGAATTGAGGGCTATGTTAAGTTGGCTGGAAAATGGAGTTGAGCCTTGCTGCAGATCAGACAGAACTTGTTGAAAGGGAGGGCAGGTTTTCGGAACCAAATGGCCTACATCTGCTCTTATTTCTTATGTTCTAAACACTGAAAGCAGCATGTGACAGAGCTAAGCAATCCCACAACAAATGGATCAGATCCAAACTCTACTGTCCTACCACACCAGCCATAAAATTATTAAACAACAAACTGGAAGAGGACATCTATAAATATCCCCATCCCTCCAAGGTGAGTTAGCCTCCAGCACATCATCGCAAAAGATAAGACTGAAACATTTGAAACCACCTTCAGTGATTCAGTAACACTACTCATGAATACCCTTTCAGTGTCGAGATGAGCAATAAATGCTAGCTTTGCCAACAAAGTTTAAAAAAAATCACCAGCCTCTCATAGTTCACTGTTGCTAAAAAGCCCATGCTTCTGTCATTCCCAGGCTTGACTATTCCCGTGATCTATCCAACTTTCAATCCAACTTCCCCCATGAATGTTGGAAGCAGAATTTTTGATGAGCGTATGACTCCTCTGCTTGCTGATCTATGTTGCATTTTCACTTAACAACTGGTTTTAAAAATGTCATCTTTATGTTTAAATCTCTATGGCTTCCTTCCCATACATTCCCCCTCTTGTAACTCTTCCACCCTATAACCCGCCAAGAACTCTACTCCTGGTTTGTCCTAATCCTTCTTCCTTTGGCTCATTGACAAATGTATTTTGTTTGCAAACATTCCATTTAAGGATCTTAGAAAATTTTTGTAGGCCCAAAGAGCTTTATGAAATTATTTAACATTTGAGAAAATTATGAAACAGATTCCCATGAAGAGCTGGCAATATAGTGAGCTGAAATGTGGGTATATGAGGCTTTCAAGCAATTTAAATGAGTGTTGGAGCTTGAGTGCCATCTACAGATTTTAAACAGAAACAGATTTCAAATACAACGGAAACAAGCATAAAATGTTTGCGGAAAATATGAATGTTGGTCAGCATTTGTAAAGAGAAAAGGTTAACTTTTTCAGAATTTTATCAGAACTGTAGATTGTAAGATAAGTAAGCAAATTGGAAAATCTATCAGATATTTGAAAATGAATTTGCTTTTCCTGTCTATAATTGAAATGAAAGAGAACTACAACAACAATCTGTCTTCAACAAAAATTGAAAATGCTGGAGAAACTCAGCAGTTCTGGCAGCATCCGTGGAGAGAAAAAACAGATAACATGTTGAGCCTAATGATCCTTTGTCAGAACTGAAAGTAGCTCAGAAATGGAGTTTTTATGCTGATTGGGGGGCTGTTTAACCTGTGAGGCAAGTAGATGGAGATGGTGCCCAGAAAGAGAGAAAACTATTCCAACGTACTACAACTATTCCACCGGTACATCAATGACATCATTGGTGCTGCTTACTTCTCTCGCCTGGAACTGGACAAATTTATCAATTTTGCTTCCAATTTCCATCCTTCTCCCACCTTCACCTGATTCGCCTCTGATTTCTCCCTTCACTTGACACCTCTGTTTCCATTTCTAAGGCATAGTCTGGTCACCAACATTTGTTACGAACCCACCAACTCCCACAGTTATCTTGACTATAGATCCTCACACCTTGCTTCCCGAAAAGACTCCATAATTCCAGTTTCTCTGTCTCTGTCACACTTGTTCTGATGATACCACTCTATGCAGGGTAGGGGACTTCAGACATGTCCACCTTTTTCCTCAACCAAGGATTCTCCACCACTGTGGTTGACAGGACTCTCAGCTGTATTTGACTCATTTCCCACACTTTGGCCCTTACTCCTTCCCTATTCTCCCACAACACTGATAGGGTCCCCCTTGTCCTCACGTTCCATCCCACCAGCCTCCGCATCCAAAAGATCATAAGCCTCCATTTTTGTCACTTCCAGCAGGATGCCACCACTACATATTCTCCTCAGCACAAAAACATAAGTTGCTGGTAAAGCTCACCAGGTCTGGCAGCCTCTATGAAGATAAATCAGAGTTAACGTTTTGGGTCTGGTGACCCGTCTTCAGAGCTGGGAACATATTCTTCTCCCCTCTCTTGCCAGCATTCAGCAGGAACCGGCCCCTCCGACACACCCTGCCCACTCTTCCTGCATTCCCTACAACTTCTCATATCACCATGGCACTTTCGCATGCAACTACAGAAGGTGCTTGTTTCTCAAGTGTACTGGTTGATAAAGTGCTGGTTAAAACAAAGTTTTGCTTTGTACACTTTGCAAGTTGAGGAATACTGTTTGATGTCCTCCTTACTGAATATCAACCCTACCATTTCACCAACATGGCAATTAGCTGCATGTCAACTAAGTCTAGATAATAGTACTTCACCTATCTGATGATTATATCTCTCTGAAACTTACCTTCGATCTTTTTCCCCCTGAAAATATTCGGGATCTTAATCCTGAATACCAGCTGCTTTCAGTTCCAACCAAGGATCACCAGACTGTACATGTTAACTCTGTTTTTCACTTTGCAGATGCTGCCCAGCATGCTGAGTTTCTCCAATATTTTCTGTTTACATTTCAGATGTTAAGCTTCTGCAGTTTTTTGTTTTATACTAATCTGACTTTCTTCTGTCACAGTTAGTAAGAACTGCAGATGCTGGAATCAGAGATAACACAGTGTGGAGCTGGAGGAACACAGCAGGCCAGGCAGCATCAGAGGAGCAGGGAAGTTCTTTTGACGAAGGGTCCCGACCCGAAACGTCAACTTCCCTGTTCCTCTGATGCTGCCTGGCCTGCTGACTTTCCTCTGTTATAAGAGATAACAAGGTGTGGAGCTGGATGAACACAGCAGGCCAAGCAGCATCAGAGGAGCAGGAAGGCTGACGTTTCGGTCCTCTGTTCTTTTTGAATAGGAATAGTTTGGACTTTGCAGCAACATTGTTAAAAGTGCTTTATAATAAAAAAAAAACTAGCACTCATTGAGTGAGGAGTTTGGAAATTCTTACAATATTTTATTGAGTTGTCATTTTAATCAGAGGATTTCATTCTTTGCTGAAGCTGTGGACGTGTCAATTTCTGTGACAGTCTCATTTAAAAATCATTTATTCAATTTCACGTTGTGTAAATTGATTTTTTTTCTCATGCACAAAAGACAAGAGAAAAATATCCGGTAGTATGAAAGTCTTTAAAACTAACAGTTGATGAACTCTGCCAGCTGCCCTTTTTTTCATTAAGAGGTCCACGTGGCTATAATTGCAACACTGTTCTCGATTTCATCAGTTGCTGACTGGGCAGTGGGAGGTCTCAGAAATCACTTCCACTTTGACACACAGGAAGCACAATCTGATTGGCTGCTCGCACCCGGAGGTGTTACTTTATATTTGAGTGAATGGCTGTATAGCTTTAGTTAAAAAAAAACACTTATTTAGACAGCGGTAGTGATGTTCAGTATAAAAAAGTTGTGAGCTGGATTCTGTTCATTTTAGTGACATTATTATTGGAGAAACGTTTGCAGAAGAGCAAAAAAGGTTTTTAGAACAAAAGCTCTGGTAGGTGATGTAGAATTGCTTTTAAACATGTTGATAACACTCCATAAAAAGACTTTATAATTTATAGTAACTCATGTATTTCAGGTGAAGGAAAAAAGGCACAAGTTCACCCTTTAAAACTCAGCAAATGTTTGTGTAACGGTTGTTTAGAATTAGAGCTGAGTAATATTTAAAACATTGTACACATTGCACGATGAGGAATGCTGTTTGGACTGTTTGATGCCCTCCTTACTAAATATTAAACCTACCATCTCACCAACATGGCAATTAGCTGATTGTTAAGTAAGCTTAGGTAATAGCACTTTACCTATCTGATGATTATATCTCTCTGAAACTTACCTCCTGAGCCTGTGACTTTTCACCCTGATGATCCTGAAAGTATTGTTTAGGTTTACTATCTTAATCCCACTGCACATCTCACATACTTCTAAAGTGATGCCTTAGAGATATCTGAAGCTTCTTCCATCATTATATCTTCTTTCCCCTCCCCACACTGTTAAAAAGGAAACGGGAGTTGGTTCAATTATTCAGGAATTCACCTTAACTACTCTGCTGTCTTTGATTTATGGCAACTGTTTGCAGAAAAGATATTGTCATTAGAAATATGAATCATAAAATTGAGCATTTAGTTTGTTTAATACATTTACTATAATTGTACTACATGGAACACTTTACCATTGGATATTTGTGCTTATACTCTGCTTTTATTCTGTTGCAGATATTGAAGTTGCTGCCCACTCCTCATCATGCTGTGGAAAGCAGGTTTGATCCACTGCTTCACCTCAGCTCTATCGAAAATAGGCCCTCAAGTAACCAAATGTAAGCATTAAGTAGTTGAAAGTTTTGTTATGTTTTTGGACCTATTACTTGGAAAATGAATTTTGATTTAGTGCTCTGTAGGATCCAGATTGAGTGGTATTAGAATCTTTAAGCATTTTAGCGCTGTGTGCATTGCTGGCTGGGCTATACGTGTGTGTCTTGCAGAAGGTGGTAATGAGATGCCATTTTGAACTGCTTCAGTCTGTTTGGTGGAAGTATGCCCCAGTGCTGTTGGGGAGGGATTTTGAGGCTAGACCTTTGATCCAACAGCACTAAAGAAACAGTGATATATTTCTAAGTCAGGACAGTGTATGATTTGGAGGCAAATTTGGAAGTGGTGGTATTCCTATGTATCTGTTGTCCTTGTCCTTCTAGATAGTAATGATTGTGGGTTGGAAAGTGCTGCATAAAGTAACTCGGTGAATTTCTGCAGTGCATCTTATAGAACTTGTTTTAGGGAAATTACTTATTTTTAGTGTTGTTCATCTACGTGAATGTGAAGCCTGATCCTTTTGGGATGCTTGGCTGTATAAAACAAATCAATGCAACCCTGTAGAAATGTTAATTAAAAGCCTGGTGAATGGATTTATGGTAAATCTACATGCCAATATTTCCATCATAGGAAAGGGAACAGAAGCAGGCCATTTGGCCTGTTGCGCTGCTCAGCCATTCAAAGAGATCATTGCTTATCTTCTAGCTCAAAGTGCAGGAAAATGACATTCTCCCATCCCTTGACGTCTTTAATATTTAGAAAGCTATCAATATTCTTCTTGAATATACTCAGTGATTGAGCTTCCTCAGTCCTCTGGCATAGAGACTTCCAATTTCACAAATCTCTGAGTGAATACGTACCTCCACATCTCAGTCCTGAATGGCCTACCTCTTGCTTTGAGGCTGTGTCCCAGGTTCTAGACCCTCTACACCCCCAGCCAGGGGAAACATCCTCCTGTGTTTACCCTATGATGTCCCTGAAGAATTTTGTATATTTCAAAAAGGTCACGAAATCAGGCAGACCTTGAATCTAACCCAGCTGATGGTGAAAATCACCTTGAAGTGTCCACAGACAGTCTGCATTCAAGACAATAAGGTGTCTTTTCTTTTCTTCAGAAGTTGAAAGAACTGCTGTGTTTCCAGAGCTTTTTGTTTTTATTTGTTTTATTTCTGTTTGTGTGAAACCTTCCTCTGTCTATTAGCTTCAGGGTCTTAAATGAATTTAAGATGTTTCAAGGACCATGTCCTGAGCTATCAAATGCAAAAAGTCCTAGGATACCAATCCCATTTTTTATGTTTTTGTGAGTCTGACAAATCATTTTTGAGTGAAGAGTGCTGTTCAATGGCCACAGGACTCCACATACATAAGTGTTTCAAGTTTGAGGCTTTATTTATGAATGAATGAGAGGAGGTGATGTATACTTGAACTCCTCATCTGCAGTAATCTCTTTACCCCTCTTTGGTCAGTTTTTAAACTTGTACTCCAACTTCACTGTGTGAGTTGTAGCGCCATGTAGTGCATTAATTAATAGTTCTCTAAGCTGCTGATTAATAAAGTTTTCACATAAAAGGAAATAAAACCAATGAAAATGGAGACTTCTACAAATATACAGTAGGTTTCAGAAAAAGGAAGAGTCATGACGGCTCCAGTTGAGTAAGTTCTTAAGAACATCAAACGCCAAATGAGACCTGGTTAGAAAGTTTGGTTTCCTTTTTCTTTTAAGTTATAAAAATTCATTTCCGACGGTAGTTCTAATGTTATAGTGATATGAGTTAGCCATAACTGCCATTTCACAAAGATTCACAAGTATTGACTCTCTGAAGTTCTTGGTTTTGTTTCTTCATTACTGTTTCCAGATTATGATCTGAATTTTCTCTCTCTTTTCTGAAGGTTGGCCAATTTATAGACCAGCATCCATTAAACGATTTGCTCGGCACTGGAGCAATGTTCCATTTCTCACTGTTCCCCCACGGCGCACTCCAGGGAAACCATTTGCCCATCGGAGTGACCTGAAACAAGCCAAGCGCATTGTCGTAAAGCTTGGTAGCGCGGTGGTGACACGAGGTGATGAGTGTGGCCTTGCTCTTGGTCGGCTTGCTTCCATTGTTGAGCAGGTGAGATCAAAACACTATTATAGGGCCAGCGAATTCCGTTTAACATATGAATGTTTAGTAAGAGAACTCTACTTTTAAAAAGCTTAAAGAGAAGCTTTTGTTGCTGGTTCCAAGGTTAGGCAATACTTAGAAATGACTGAGGGCTAATATCTCTTAACCATTATCCAAAGGGTATGGGAATTGGTAACAAATGCTGCAGAATTGTGTTTAGAGGGTAGACTCGACCTTTTTTTAAATTAAGACTTCCTAAAACCTACCCTTTGATCAAGCATTTCGGCATAGTGACATTGTTGCTGGACGACTAATCCAGAGACCCAGGTAATGTTCTGGGGTCCTGGGTTTGAATGCCATCACAGCAGACGGTGGAGTTTAAGTTCAATGACGATATTGAATTAAAGTTTAATGATAACCATGAAACCATTGTGGAATATTGTAAACAGCCATCTGGTTCACTAACATCCTTTTAGGAAAGGAAACTACTGTCCTTACTTTGTCTGGCCTACATGGGACTCCAGATCAACAGCAATATGTTTGACTTTCAGCAGCCTTTTGATGGCCAAGCAAGCTGCTAAGTTGTATCAACTACTAGAAAGCTTCTTTAAAAAAAAAAGGACAAACTAACATTGCCTAAAGCACTGGAAATGACAATGGCAAACATTAAACCTGTCGATTCTGCACAGTCCACCTTACTAACATTTGGAGCTTGTACCAAAATTGGGAGAGCTGTCTCTCAGATTAGTCAAGTTAAACCTAGACATCATTTTCTTTTATTCATTCACAGATTGAGGGCATTGCCCATCTCTGATTGCCCAGAGTGCACTTCAGAGTCAACCACATTGGTGTGGGTCTGGAGTCACATGTAGGTCAGACTAGGTAAGGATGGCAGTTTCCGTCCCTAAAGGACATTGGTGAACCAGATAGGTTTTTCCAACAACCGGCAATGGATTCGTGGTCACCATTAGACCCTTAATTCCAGTTATTTATTGAATTCAAATTCCACCATCTGCAATGGCAGGATTTGAACCCGGGTCCTCAGAACATTACCTGGGTCTCTGGGTTAACAAACAACTGATAGGGAAGGCAATGGCCTTGTGGTACTAAGATTCTGTCATTCTCACAGAATCATAATTTACAATGTCCCATACAACACCATCATCATCCCTGGGTATGTTCTATGCAACAGGCAGGCCAGACCTAGTGGAGATGGCAGTACTGTGGTATATAGTATGGAGGGTGTTTCTCTGGTGTGATCATCATTGATTCTGGAACCCATCAGGTCTCATGGCATTAGGTCAAATGTGGACAAGGAAAGCACGGAGTGGCACCAGTGATGAATATACTTCATACGATACCAAGAAATGGTTAGAGATACTGGATACTGACGAGGCTGAACCCTGACAGCATTCATGCAATAGTAATGAAGATGCATGCTCCAGAACTTGCTGCATTCTAAGCCAAGCGGTTCCAGCAGTTTGTTTATTTTTCTATTTATTTATCACTTTCTTTATTGACATGTCTATTTTAATAGAGTGAAAACTGTTGTAAGGTGTGACCACTCTCCGGCACCATCTTAAAACACAGAAAAATAAACCAAAACATAGAACACAAAGACAGAAAAATAAAGCAATCGTGTTCAACTTTACAGTTCTTGTTAAGTGCTCCATCATCGGTCATGGGCCTGGTGGCCAGCCATGAGTTCCCTTTTGCTGTGCTGCCTCCACTGGAACAAGAGTTACCATTCTTTAGCACCATCTCGCTTTCACTGATGCCCCTGCCACTGAGTCTTTGCTGGACCGCGCCAATGCAACTGCCACTGATGCCGCAGGGTACAATACCAGCCCAACGTGACTCCACCACCATGAGTCGACTTCGGGCCCACCTCGCCAGGACTGCTGATTGGGCCCAATCCCATCGTTGCCGCACCTTTTATGAACCTGCACTGGACACATGTCATGGAGCACCCAAACCCGTCACACCACAACCGGTCTAAGTTAGCTCTAGGACCGCCTCGTCGATAAACAAGTACTGGGCTCGCTTCAAGTCTGCGCTGGGCTCAATCACCAACTACGACAGATCTGCACTGGGCTCACTTGCCGCCGACGCTGTCGCTGCAACCAAACTCTTCAACAAGAGGTAAGTAAAGGAAAAAAAAAAAAGAATGAGTAAAGAGGGGCAGACAAGCTCTGGGTTCACGAGCTGAACACTACCACTGTCTTACTGGAAGCAGCCTCAGTACTGCTATAATGCTGGCATCCAGCAGACAATGCAGAAAATTGCCAAGTTTTGTCACTTTCTGCAAGCTAAGGGCTCCACAACAGCCTGTGGTTATTGCTCCCACCTTCCTGAAGATGTTTGATTCCATTTATTGTAGTCTCATGTACCTAAGTACCATGAAAAGCTTTGTTTTGCGAGAAGTACAGGCAGATGAGGTAGTTTCTTACTGTCCTGGGCAGAGCAGTTGCTGTACCGAGCTTTTATGCACTTGGACAAAATGCTTTCAATGATGCATCTGTAAAAGTTGGCGAGGGCCCTCTGGGCATGTCAAATTTCCTAAGCTGCTTGAGGAAGAAGGTGCCTGCCAAGTGCCAGAAGTGGGATCCTTGCTTCATGGATTCCTGTCTAAAAGCTGTGCTCCAGCCAACAGAGCAAGAAAACACATCTTCCCCATTTTTGGGTGAAAGAAGCCCTTCCATCGGACCCAAATAGTCTGCAGTGAGGCAGCATGGGAGGTGAGTGCTGAATCTGAGGAGAGACACAGTCCAGGAAGAACATGAACAATCTCCTGTGCCCTGCTAGTGCAGTTGCCACGATCTCCTCATTGCAATCTCACACAGAGCCATTGTTCAGTTTAATCACTGTACAGCCATATCACACAAGCATGCCCACTTGACATGCATGATGGGCTCACACCAATCTATGTTGGCAAAGTTCTAATACTTCTCAGGCACTGAGCTTCCCTCCTACTTACCACCAATGTGCTCTCTAACCTATGCACACAGTCACTCCAAAAATCTGAGCACGGCGATTGATGTGCCAATTCCTTTCGCAGCGTCACCTTCCAGTTCTGGAGGTTGCTGCTGTACGTAGACCTTGGAGATCTGTGCAGAAGGGAAAAAAATGAAGAGAAATGCTGCTCACTACCTGGCTCGGCTGCGAACGTCCAAGTGCTCTGTCACACCGTTCCATCACACTCCATTCTCTTTCCCTCATTGCAGGAGGACAAGTTGGTGCAAATGGAAAAATAAGGCCCCCCCCCCTCCCGGTGCAGGGGTTTCTAATCTCCACATCCTCACTCACTTTGAGGAAGGCATTGTCCAGCTAGTGGGTGAGGACCAAAGCTGGTCCTGTGAAGATGGAGAGATTGGTTTGGCAGAAGGCAGTGAAGAATATTGTTCCCTGCTCTTTTCAGTTATGCAGACACTCTCAACTTCACCAAAATGTAAGAGATTAGAGGCTGACCATTGTCAGCATGCACCAACAAACTGTTCACATGCACCCTCTACCAGTACAGAGACTGTCACCTCAATGGTGTCCTATTGGATTAGACTTAGTGATTTACTCACTAGATCACATCCCTGGCATGTCTGCATTCGATGGTTAAAGAAATTCTCAATACTCAATGGCCAGTGACCAAGCACCTGCTCACGTTCTTTCCATGCCTCCCTTGCAAAAGATGTACCTCTGTAATCGGCTGTAAGCAACATGGTCAAACTGCCGAATCAGGCAGGGGTGGCAAAGGCCCGTATAGACTAGGATGAAAAGTGGAAGAGTCCATCCATCTCCTCCCTGTGGAGGCTCTGACATGTGAGAATTGGCTGTCTCCATGGAAAGGGTGGCTGTTGTCTTCGAGGTCCAGATGCAATGGAACATACTAGTAAGGGTTCAAACACATTCACTAGACATGGGTGGTCAGCATCACCAGCAAGGCACAAAAAGGATGCAGCTCCATGACATCACTCCAGCTGTCCCTTCTTCTCGAGGAAATGGGTGTGTGAACCATATGGCCGAGTAACAGAAATGTCCTCGGGAGCTTCATTTCAGGAGACTTCATTAGTGCCCTCCCCATCCACATCCCCTGTACCATTTACTGACTGTAACAGTTCAGACTGAAGGAGACTGCGCCTGCATCTGTGCAGGAGACCCTCACCAGAGCCTACAGAGAATGCCTGCCAAAGTCTTCACAGCCATCAGGACATCCCAATCAGCAAACATCCTACACCCCAGCTCCGGATGTCAGCCCACACATAAAGGTAGTGATAGGCAAAGGAGGAAGAAATCCTTTCGTGGGTATTGTGTGGGCACAGGTATTTCCTTAATGTATAGCAATCTTATGCGTGTAAATATATATTTACCTTTTACTGTTCTAAGGTTTACCGTAGTCTCGTTTTCCTGCCGTCTGAAGTGAAAGCAATACAGCATCCTTCCCTATTACAAGAAGATGCTGCCATTCTCTTGGACAATCTTTGAATGCCTCGCTGCAGCGGCAATGTTTGTGAATGTATGAACTAGGAGCAGAAATAAGCTGTCTGCCATTCAAAAAGATCACGTTGATCTGTTTGTGTTTAAAAATAGTCAGACGTTTTGCCTTTGCCTCATCTGAAAATCACACAGCGTCCAAGAGGAAAAATAGCTTTCCTCATCTGTCCTAAAACGACGATTCCTAATTTTTGAAACAGTGTCCCTTGGTTCTGGACACCCCCACCAATTGTCCTCCTTGTCAAGACCATGCAGGACTTATAAACTTCAATTACAACGCCTCTCTCTTAAGCCTCACTGGGGTGGCGTACTGGAAATCGAACTATTCCCAGAGTAGTGTGAAAACTACGCAAAATTCTCCAGTTTACTTGTCCTTTAGACGCAGGTTGATAGGCAGCTTCGACCAGGTTTCTGTGCTTAACAAGAATTCTTATATTATAAATAATTTTTTTTTACTGAACTAGAATTTATGAACTGTTGACGTAAGCTGTAATGATTAAAATACTATCCTACATATATATGCAGACACAAAAAATGGGTGTCATGGGTGGAGGGAAAAGACTGGAAAGGCATTTCAGTAATCCCTGCCCACAAGGTTAGCTCAGATGATCCTTTTGCCTGATTAGACTTGCTGCTTCTCAATCTTCCTTCCTCAGGTACTTTTACTTGTGCAGAACGACTGGTTCACACTTGTAAAGTTTCTGACTTATTGGTTAAAAGTTTCAGTTGCCAACAACTGACAAGGGAAATAAACTGCCTTTCTTCAGGCTTGAGGTGTTCTTTTACTGCAGAGGGGAAAAAAGACAGCTCCTTCCTTTTCAAACGTCTGATGGTTTCCGTCCAAACATTCACATCTACAAGCTATTGAGCAACCTGGAAGCCAATCTCAAATTTCTTGGCAGGCAGAAGGCCTTCCCTGCTTGAACACTGTGAAAAGTACTTACAATGAGTGTCAGGCAATTTGCTTTGAAAATGTGCAGTAATCCTTGATTTTTTTTTTTTTTTTTAAAACAGTCCTTTTCCCATTTCAGGCTGAAATAAAATGTACAGAAAAATTAAAAATATATGTTCTTTATATCTCACCCTTCCAAACTCCAGTGCGAACAAGCCTGGTCTATCCACCCTTTCCTCATTAAATCAAACTGCTCATTCCAGATATCAAGCAAGCCTATACTTCCTCTTGTAACCTAGTGAACCATATACCTAACATTTGGACAGTGAGTTAAAAGTTCAGAGATAGCGTTTAGGAACTCTCACTTTATCTGATCAGTTAAAGGGTAGGAAAGTAGGTGATGGACTGGTCACAGAACTAGTCCTACTCAGGAAATTCATTAGTCGTGCTGAGGTGACACGTCTTCAGGGTGCAGAAGTCAAAGGTATTTTCCCTGTTTATGGTTTCAATTAGTGTAACCAGGCAAGCATTCTCAGTGAGTCGGCAATCCAGACCCTAGAGCTGCTGGGTGGGGTGGACATTAGGGAAGTTTTAGCATTTATGCACCTCCTAGTATTGATAACTTGCTCACTGAGAATGAGTAATCATTGTGTTGGTGCTGTGTAGGATCCTAACATTTTACAGAACTGTAGGAAGACAGGAAAGAGAATAAGACTAATGACATCAGGCAGAATGTCTCATTTAACAGAATCAGCCATTCAGAGACTACTCAGCCTATTTGTCTGCAGTAGCTCTCTGAGCAGTTTAACTTGGTACTAAACCTGTGCTGTTTTCCCAAAACCCTGCATGTTGTTTCTATTTAAATAATATCCGATTTCCTCTTTAATGCCTCAATTGAATCTGCCTCTACTATACTTCCAGGTACTGTGTTTCAGACTCCGAGGAGTTGGGGGGAGAAAAACCCCTTCTAACCCTGCTGTGGCATAATGGTGCTGCCAGCAACTTTCGCTCCTTAGACCCCAGATCATACCACACCTCCCCTGTGTAGCATTGGAATCCAACCCGGATGCCAGAACATGCAGTGCTTATGATGGTTGGCTCTTGTCAATGGGGCAGCTTCGAGACAGCATTTGCTCAATTGCTGCTTTGCTTATTGCATACCTGAGAGATTATGAAGTGTTGATCAGTTGAGCATGTACCTTCCATCTCATTGAAATGTGATGGAATGAATACTGTTGAATATTGCCAATGTCACAGCAAAGGCAGCTATATCTGATTGTCCAAACTCTGGACTCCTGATTTACAAGGAGCCTATTTAGTTGGCCAAACATATAATACATATCTCTGCTGCCCCAAATAAAACCTGTTCTCATTTTGGGTTTAGCATTTCTACTTAAGAGTGCTGTGCAGATAGTTTCAGTATTGTGAGATTATTAACCCACTATCTTCCTCTCCTTCTGTTCCATCGTCACTGGCTTGCCATCCATGTCGTCCTCGGATCCTCCGTACTCAGTTTATTGGCAATCATTTTCACCGTTGAAGTTTCTAAGGTACCCTTGGGGACCTGGACATCGAGGTACTTCTGGCCCTTAGTGAGCCTTATTGCTCCCCTGATTGAACCCACCTGCAGCCTAAGGTTCCTCTTTTGGCAACTGTATGTTCCCTGCCTTTCACTTTCCAAATTACTGAATATGACACTTAACTGCACCCTATCCCTGTGACCATTCCCTGCACTTCAACCACCCCCCGAATGAGCCCCAGACTTGAGTGGGCCTCTGTATGGGCAAAGCCTGGATTGATGTTTCACTCCAGACTGACTGGAGCCATCCTCCTGGACTGACTGGAGCATATCCTTTCCCAACTTTCTTCCACTGCACTGCCTGTGGAGTTGATTGCTGTTTACTCAAATGCTGCCCCAATTTGTCATGTGCTCTAAAGCCTGTCCTTGATCTATACACAGCTGTCTATTTGCTGTATGCTAGTCAGGGAAGGCTCAGGGAGACCAGCAGCCTTCCTGCATTTGAATACATGGACTGGACTTGGAAAAGTTGTAGCATGTGAGCCTCATTTAAGTACAAAGAAGCAAGTAAGTAGCCTAGTTGGAAGAATTAGCACAACTCCCTCCAGGTAAATGCCTACTTTCTGCTGTCAGGTTTTTGACACATTAGATTTTTCAGTTGGATGGAATTTATTTGGGAAGGCGAAGTTAATTCCAGTGGAGCGTTGTATCAATGAGATACAAAGATATGCTGGTTGCTTAAGGTAACGCAAGAAACCTGTCGTTTGAAGCAGAGAACTTAATCAGCGAAGTTTAGATTGACAGCGAGAATCTGATTTCTTTTGCCTCTTGTCCCATTGTTTGCTCAGGTGCTATTCTTCTCACCGTGTGAGGGACTAGAATATCAATAAATGATGTGCTTATTTCGGAATAACAGTTTGTAACTTTGTGTTGCTCCTTAAGGTGTCAGTTCTGCAAAACCAAGGTCGGGAGATGATGATTGTAACAAGTGGAGCTGTGGCTTTTGGCAAGCAACGCCTGCGACATGAAATCCTGCTTTCCCAGAGTGTGCGACAGGCCCTGCACTCGGGCCAAAACCAGCTGAAAGACATGGTGAGCCTCCAGAAAAATTTACAATTCAAAACAACCTTAGTATGTGGTAAATGTGATCAACTATATTCATTTCTAATAGTTTAGCTTTCATTTTGTTCTCCACTTCACTCTAGAGTTCTATGAAACGTGAGTAGAGTTCTATGAAACGTGAGTAGAGTATGAAACGTGAGTAGAGTATGAAACGTG